CCTGGCTCACGAACATGCAGAGGTGGTGTGTTGCAGTTTTAACCTTGAGCTCTGTTTTCAGCTCGGGTCTATCATATTGCGTTTCAGGATATACTTCTTACCCTTTCTCGAATTTAGGTTCGACTGTGGTGGTCCAGTCCGCACCAACGTTCGTTACGACGAATCCTGTCACTGTTCAGTCCGGACCGTCGACCGTTATCGGATCCCCTAACTACGGTTGCAACTACTGCAACAACGGTTGCAACTATTGCAACACCGGGTACAGTTCGTGTAATAATGGATACACTCTGTATAGTGTCGGTGGTCTCGGCTCCACCTCCATTAGTTCCAGTATCGTCAAAGTCAGCCCCTCTTCTGCCGTGTATTCTTCAAGTCCTTGTACAGGGTGTTGCAGTTATCAGAGTTTCAGTCTCAACGGAGGCACAACATTAGTGTATTAACTTAAAAACTGGCTTCAAACTTTCCCATTTCAATGTATGTGTTACACAATAGATTTTATATGATGGAGACATACAGGAAGATTCGTATTGCCAGCAGTAGAGATTCGCGTCTGGTGTACCTACCACAGGAATATCCAATTTGATGTAGAATATTCCAACGGAATAATTTCGGTGCCACATACTAGATCTTCATTTTTTTTTACTTATGATTTTAGTCGCCGGTATATATCTGTACCTTTACCCATTTTTAATTAAATTGTTTTCAAAATAAATCTCTCGGGTCATGGTCCTTTTTGTTGTTTCTACCTTGTCCCGGTTTCAGGACATCGTCAACGAATTTTTGTCCACGCACCTGTTTTGTCCAGTAGTTAACATCCATGCGTAAAATAAGCAACAGTGACTTGGTTCAAGCATGATGTTTAAGTCCGATTTTAAAATTATATCGACAATATCGAAATGAGAAAATTGAAAGAGAAGGAGGTGTTGTTATGGTAACTCATTTTTAAAATGAAATGTTACTTCCTTATCGTGATTCATCTCTGTAAAACGTAGCAAACATTTGTAAAAAATTTCAAGCGATGGCATCGATATTAATTTCAATGAGTCGTGTGTCGAAAGGAACTGTACAAAAATGAATAAAAGAGGGGGAAAAAAACCAAAAAGCACGCAATCTTTGATTTTAACCTATTTGTACATCGATCTGTTAGAATCAAATACGTCCAATTTTGAGAGTTTGGTTACAATGCAGCACAGTAAAAGCGCAAAATATGAAAGAAAAAATTAAAGGACTTTGAAAATCATTAAATTTAACACGGAATCACCTTAATATTTACAGAACACACAATATATTTTCCTTTAATACACATCTTTTTTCATCAATTTAAATGAGAATAGTCCACGCAGAGAGTGCAAGCGTTTCAAAATCATGAGTTGAAAAACGCTGACTCTGCGAGTTAAAATATTAGAGCCAAACAGAGCGGAGCGGCGTACAGCCAGCGCGAGAGGCTCACTGGCGCCTATAAACCTAAGGGGATACTTCACGCATTGCGCAATGTTTGAAGTATCTACTTAGGTTTGTAGGCGCCAATGCGCGTATCGCGCTGGCCGCCCGCTCGCCGTGCCGCGGCATGGCACCTCAAGCAACTATTTTACAACAGATGTGTTGCATAGTATCATTCGAAATTGAAGGCGCCCCTACATATTAAGAATGACGGGCATCCTTTAAGAATACGCAGCGTTCTCCGCAAAATGAATCAAAATGCTACGGCACAAAAAGAGAGCGGTAGTCCTAAAACTCATCAAGTCCAAGCATCCGTATTTAATAGAGTTTAGCATAACTTTCAAATTTCATCAAAGAAAAAAGTGACTCGATTTAGGCAGAAAAATTCCTGAGTATGCCGTCAAGAATATTTTATTTTGAGTCTCGACAATAATCGGTACGTGGACCAAAACTCCCCTGCCGAAAAAACGCGTGGACGTAAACTACTGGAATAAACAGGTGCGCTGACAAAAAATCCCTGACAAAATGTCCTATAACCCCTTTTCCCCCGTAACCTAATACTAGAGCCAAACAATTTTGAAAACATGGTCAGAAAATGCAGGAGGTATGGTGAATTAAACTAAAAAAAAATTTAATGATTTTTGACGTAGAAAAGTGCGTTTTTAAAAAAATGTTCGTTCCTTCGTCGTCCAATCTTGCAACAGACAACCCCTGTCTCTCTTCCCGCAAAAGAATTTTTTATTCTTTCTTTCAGATTTTGATACAGCCCATATGGTTAAAATTTTTCAACGTGTAAAAGTTACTGTTCAAGATACAGTGAACTCGAGCACGATTCCAAGAACGTGAGAGCCGTACCCTCAATGAAAATTCCTCGATACAACTATTCGTGCTTAGCGGATGTCCGTGGTGCATATTCACAAAATTGAAGGGGCTCTGGGGTCGTTTGCCGTGACAACTGACAAGCCATGCTTGTCTTCATCGCGCCGGTTCAAGTTGCCAACGGTGGGTAAGTTGTTGCTCCGATGAAAGAATCGCTGGTCCTGTACTAACCTGGCTATACTAACCTGAAAGAATTTTTGGACTCGAATCCCTGTTACATTCGGAGTTTTTAATCTAGCTTTAGGAAATCGTGGGCCGTCGCTTTGTTAATTACTGATTTTTTTTTATTTTATACAATGCATTACAATTGACGTTTCTAGTTATTGCATCCTCCCTTCAGCCAAATATTTCTTTACCCAATTCTCTTTGAATCGCACTTATATCGTAAATGTCAATTCAAACTTTGTTGAAAAATTAACTCTTATTCCACGTAAATAGTGTTTATCCGGCTGACTCAAAAATGTTCTTGCCTCGCTCATTTTTAGAAAAACCTGAGTGGTTAGTAAAACTTTCGTCAATTCAAGCGTCAGCGACGCGTCGCTGCATGTCGAATGAAGTACGGAGACAGCAGTTTTATCGAGCTGTTTATGTAATAAGTTATTTCGGGAAAACAGTGAAAATTGCAAGCAAGCACTAAATCGGCCCGCACAAACTCAATAGCAGCTCTGAAATTAATTGCCGAAATTTGCGAATTTCGTCGAATTTCGTCACAGAAAACTTGAAACGCTCTCCGCAGGTTGACGACAGCGAATTGTCCTCTTCGCAGGTGGTTTATGCTGTAAAGTGTCCTACCAGCTCGTATATATTGCACTTTCTTTTCCCCCTCTCCTCACAAACTGAATCCATGTGAACCTCCACCGCACTCCGTGAGTCATACTCACGTGTTGATATGTTCATGACTCAAATTTCTGGTTCTTTGAAATTTTTCCAGTCTAATAATTTGTTGCCTTGTTTTACTGCTCGTCACAAAGTTGCATTTCATTTTCTTGCCCTTGCATTTTACGCTTACATTGTTTCGTAAATACATTTTCCCTTGATCCTAAGACTATGCAGACGTCCTCGGGGAATAAAATGCCACATGAACATTCAAATTAAGTTGCCAAATTTCAATCGATGAAATATCAATTTGTGAGGGAAGGCTTTAACACTTCCCCTGGAAAATTTCAGATACTTATGTTTAAAGTTCCTTGACATTTTTGAGTGTACTGACTCATTGCTATAGGTTAAAGGATTGACCTCCGGTGTTCCCTGAAAATGTTCAGTTTTTAATATTTTTATATTTTCCAATGATGTATTACTCAAATGGTGGTTGTTAAAAATAATAATTAATTTATCGGGTTTCATCATGATTTGAGAGGTTTTTTTCAAACGGCCTCCATCGAGTAACACTTCATTGGAAAGAGAAGGAAAATCGAAGATTTTACAGAAAATCATAAAGTTCAACCATCTCAGTCATCTATGTAGAATCAGTAAACAATCAGTTTGAGGTATTTCCTTTTGAAAAAAAAGTTGAGGGGCTGTTCCCACTCAAGGCGGCTTCCCCAAAACTCTAATGGATCCCAAAAATAGCCAACCAAGTTTTGCACTCTCAAATTTTTAAATCCCTATCTTAATTCTTTTGAAGGTAGAGAGGTGGTAAGGGGCTTTTGTTTCACTCTGTGCACGGGCGAATTTTCATGAAAACGATTTGAGAATTTCCGGGCCGGAGAACCGAAGTTGAATACAGGGGTACAGAAAGTTCCTCGCCCTTATACGTATTTTTGAGGCAACCCTCGCACTTTTTGAGGTTGCCTTCACATTCCTGTCCACGCACGACTTGTGCGCTTTACCGATTCCTTCGCAAAAAGCTATGCGCTTGCTGGTTTATGCCTTCTGCCTTCTCATTTTTCTTGGGGTGCAAAATTTTCTCGACCACGCGACCGGACGGGTCGCGATCGGTCGGGTGTGAAAATGGGAAGGCCCCAAAAATGGTGTTTTGAAATAAAAAAGCTGGCAAAATCACGATTATTTTGGCAAAACTGTGGTAAAAATCATGTATTCTTCGTAAAATCGCGGGAGAAATCGCGTGTTTTGCTCATGTAGCGCCAATAATCACGCGTTCGAGCCACAAAAAAGTTATATTCTCGAATTTTTTGGAGAAAAAGGGTGTTTTTCAAATAGGATGGCCAAGAACTTACGGCACTCCTGTATTTACCCTCCCTTTCTAGGTACCTTCAAATTTTTCACCCCTTTTTAGGTGCCTCATCATTTGCTCGGCGATTGGTCTACGAACGGCCGATCGGCCGATTGAGCACTCTCTGCACCCCTGGTCGAGCACAGTCTAGAGTCAAAGGAAAAATTCGCTTTTCTCCTCGCCGAACCAGTTTCAACTGAGCTAAATCGGTTCGTCAAACTGACTATTCTCGGGTCGCTGAACTCCTCGAGGCGAAATTCTGTGCAAGTTCACCTGTGTGGATGGAGCGTTACAGCACCACCACGAACAAGGTGCGAACAAAAGATGCTACAGCGCACCGTTATCATCGCTGCAACGCGAGCAGGTGGAACACAAAAGCTCTGCCGAGAGAACAAGCTCCAAGAACTTTCAGTTCTCTTTCTTCTACGGCCGTATAAAAAAACTTTCCAGCCGAGAACTAGACATTCTCAACCATTCCCTCCTTCGAGAAGTGCGAAAGAGAGCCAGAATGTTCAAGTTGTTTGTCGCCGCGTTGACTCTCACGGTCCTGGTCGCCTCCTGTGAAGGAGGGACCTACCCAATCTCACCGGACCAGGCTTCCTGTTCACCGACGGCCGTGACCTGCAACACCAGCCCCTGTAGCTGCAACACCAGCCCCCGTGGCTGCAACACCATCTTGGGTTGCAACGGTCTTGGATGTCTATGCAACATCCTCGGCAATAATTGCGGGTGTCAGCAGTGTGGCTGCAAAACTGATGGTTGTCAAACGTGCAACATAGGTTGCAACACAGGATGCAACACAGGCTGCAACAAAGGATGCAACACAGGCTGCAACACAGGATGCAGCACAGGCTGCAGCACAGGCTGCAACACAGGCTGCAACACAGGATGCAGCACAGGCTGCAACACAGGATGCAGCACAGGCTGCAGCACAGGCTGCAACACAGGATGCAACACATGCAACTATGGATGCAGCAAGTGCAACAGCGAATGCAATAAGTGCAACGACGCATGCACTAAATGTAACAAGTGCAACGACTGTAATAAGTGTAATAAATGCAACAAAGGATGCAATAAATGCAACAGAGGATGCAATAAATGCAACTACGGATGCTACAAAAAGTCATGCGGCTGCAACTTTTGCTGCATCCAGTCCAAGGTTGCCACGAAGTTGTTGCTGAAGCTCCTCCCACTCTTGGTCGACTTGGTCCAAAAGAGCAGCTACAACGGCTGTTGCAACAGTTGCGGTGGTTACAACTGTAACAACAACTACTGCGGCACAAACGGCAACTGTTGCTACAACTCACAGGCCACTAATAGTAGAATTAGATAGATTGAAAATCCGAGATTAATGTTTGAAATATAATAAATACAAGTCACTAATTTTTCATACTTCTGTGTTCTCCTTTAAAATCATCCGAAAAATTATGAATAGCCCTCGACTGTAATAATATGCCACGCTAGCATGTGATAAATCCCCTTAGTATTTCCTCCAAAATAATTCAACGCTGAAGCAATGATTTTTTTTCTTTCAAATAAATGAAATCAATTGAGATTTATTCCAAAAATTGATCAATTTCAAAGAGAGTTGAAGATCAATTTCTCGACTCTCACAAAAAACTCGAATGCTTAAAACCTGTAATAAATTATTGCTTACGACCCTCTCACCAACCTCTTTAAGTTTAGAGATTTCGGTTGATTTTTTTTATCTTTAATTATCATTGGAAAATAGTATAAAGCATTTTATTAAAACGAATAGTTCGGTAGTTCCTTTTGAAAATCAAGTCGAAGCGGAGCTTTTAAAATCTCCAATCGAGCTACCCATCACTCGTTCGTAGAGAAAACGCGCACAGAAGTGCATATGTTTTGTTTTCCACGCACATTCAGTGACATTTTTATTCGAAAAACTAGAAATTAAAACGAAACCGAGTTGGAAGGAAGAAATTAAATGCATTAATTTTACCACGTGAGAATTTTGAAAAAATACTTTTGTGTGAAGGAGACCACAAGCTAAGGACTGGTAACATTAAATAAATACAGGCGCTTTCAGAATTCATATGAGGTCGTGATAACCGCTGAGCACTGCCAGACGAGAAGTACTGACTAAAAATGTTTCATACCCATTTTTCTGTGCTTATTTTTAACAACTGTCGAAGTTTGTAGCTTTCAGATATTTTTAAGTGCATCGAAACTTAATTTTTTAACTACTCAAACTTTTGACTGTATGCATGCGGAAAAATTCTGTTCTTATGAAGATATTTTAGTAGGAACCTATCTATCAGGGATTAATCGAATTTCTGGATCGAAGCTCAAAAGAGCGTAAAGTACGTAAAAGCGAGGAATTTAGAGCAGGAAAATTCAAGTTCCTGAATATTATGAATCTTCGTCCATAATTTGGTTTATTGGTGGTGAAGTTTTCAAGTTTGCCATGTTTCTTTGTTTGCCAATAAATCAAGGAAAATTGTCAGTTATCTCCATTCAGATATACAAATCTAAAACCAAACGATCCCCTCACCACCGTAATTAACGGAAATATCTACCACATACACATGAAAATAACGGTTAGTAGGATTTTAAAGTGAAATGGATACATTTTTGCTGTAAAAGGGAAGAAATTATGCCATCCACCGAATGAAAGTTGACAAATATGGTATTTTCTTTACCGTAAACGTAACTAAATGCGGTAACCTTATCAACTTGATGTGAATTCAGACCAACTTCACAGCATAAACCTTGAGTAAAATTAAAAGCATTTAGAAGCGCTCGGTTGAAAAAGTGCGCTCATTACATTTTAAACGAGTGGATTTAAGAAATGAACACAATGTTGAGCAAAGTAAGTGTTAGTGAAATTATTCGTATACTGCGCTATTCGTAATATGAATTATATTGTATTTAAAATGACGTATAATGTGCTAATTTTCTGGCGAAATTCGAAGCATCGTCCCGCCATTTACATGATGAATTGGGTGTCATTAAATCGATGCAGTAGTATTTAGTAAAGGACGGTTCTAGTGTGCTACAATGCTACGTATTTTGTAAGAGGCGGTTTCTAACAAAAAAAACTGTGAATTAACGAACGCTTAAACGATCAAATAAGAGAAAAACTTGGTTCACGATCGGGTCACTCAGTTTAATTTGATGAACATTTTGTAAATAGGGATTACTACGAGTATTACCTAGCTGCGCGGGGAAATTGATAGCACATTAATGTACTCTCTGAAACAAGCAACAATTATTTTTTCTTTACTACAACATGTAATCTGTTTGACCTGAAGTGGAAGGCACCTAATTCGTATTATGTGTATGATGATGTATGAAGTGTAATGTTGAGGTGTAATATATGATGTGCAGTATACATTCGTATGATGTGTAGTGTTTTTCGCGTTATGTTAGAGGAGAATTCACCTTGAAAGTCGCAATAGCTAAGTGTTTTCGGCCGAGATTAATCTCGCTCTCAAGTGTGCGTGGTGCGCATCATCGCAACCTGCACTAACTGTATGCTAAAATGTATTTTTATTTTAACTATTCTGCTACCAAAAACTAGATTGAGGACAAAGGCTTCATTCTTGAAAGACAAAAAAAATAAGGTTCAAAGCATATTTTACCACTTTATTGCGTGAACCAATATTTCAATTGAATTCATATTACTAATTCTTTAATTTCAATAGTTGTTTATTCAGGAGGCTTGTTAGTCTGACAGCGGCCAATAGTATAGCAGCTTATTGCGATCGAAAGGAAAAATATAATCCTTATAAATGACGGCCGGAAAATGAAAATCCCAAAATATTTTCCATCTAAAGAACTTAGCTTTATTGAATTCACAGCCTTTTCTGCTTCCCCAATTCCCGATATCCTAACTTCGACGACTATTCTTCCGTTCTGATGAATGGGATTGTAAGGGGTTGAACTACAGCTTTGCTAGTGCAGTAGGTATTGTGGCTACTCTGGATTGAAAAAAAGGGTTCTTTATAAATGAGGGAAGAATGAATAAAAGATTCGATAGTATTTTTCTCTCAATTTTATTACTTTGCTTTAAATTGAAATCTCAATATTTTTTTATCTCATTCAATTAATGTTAAATAAACTTCGATCATAATGCTCTGCTACTGCAAGTGTTGGTGTTGTAGCAGTTAGTGCCACAAAAGCCGTTGTTGTAACAGTTGTTGTAGCCGCATGTGTTGCAACAGCCGTTGTAGCTGCTCTTCTGGACCAAGTCGACCAGGAGTGGAAGGAGCTTGAGCAACAGCTTGGTGGCTACTTTGGACTGGATGCAGCAGAATTTTGAGCACCCGCCGTAGCACTGCTTCTGGCAGCAGCTCTGTTTCTGGCAGCAGCTCTGTTTCTGGCAGCAGTTCTGTTTCTGGCATCCGCAATTCTGTTTCTGGCACCCGCAGTTATTCTGGTAGCAGTTGTTGTAGTTGTTCTTGCAGGCGCAGCCACAGTTGTTCTGGTTGTAGCAGCCACAGTTGTTCTGGTTGTAGCAGCCGTTGTCGTAGCAGTTGCTGTTGCAGACGGAGCTCTGGGTACACGGCGTTATGTCATTACAGTTCACGTCCTCGATGGAGCTGGTGGCGATCACCAGAACCAAGACTGCGACGCAAAGCTTGTACATTTTGCGAGGAGCTCAAGATGCTATTGAAGGATGAGAGGAGAAGTTTTGAATGTGTCTGTTTCGTGGTCCGGTCGCTTTTTATACTCGGAGGAAAAGGCTTATCAAAAGCTCTCACCTGCTGCATCTTGCGAGTGGATATGTGATAATTCGGCCGTCTAAGAGAGGTTTGGAGGTAGATGCGCCGTAGAGCACATTACGGCTGCTGCAGGTGCGCTATCTCCGACCTCTGTGCTTTCAAGTTGAATTAGAAGTCACCAAGTGCATGCCGACACTGTATCACAGTCGTTGACGATACTTCAAGCTTTATTTGTTAGAACAACGAACGCTCCGGTTAAAATGCGTCATTTATTCGTTTTTTTATTTGACAAGCGGTTTCATTTGTCTGCTTTTTTGAAAAGAATCCACTTATTGTCAATGCAACTTTTCAATGGATTCTTCGCACTCCTTTTTGATCCATCAGTTTTTCAGGCGACATAGGTATTTCGGTGGTGGATAATGTGTTTTTATTGCTTTGAAGAGAAGCGCGGGTTTGTTTCAAAACACTCGTGTTTTGAAATAATCCAAAACTTGACTATGAAAACAGAGAGCATAATTTCTCTGCTGAACATTATTTTTCGTTGCACATTCAATTACTTTTCATTTATTTTATTTGTTTTAAAAAGTTTTATGATTTTATAAAGCGCTCGTTTACTAATTTCAATCAAATGGGTGCCCACTTTTGAATTTCCAATACTGTAACAAGAAAGTGTTCCCTCTAGTGTAGTTCGGCCGAAAGTCTAAAAATTTAATACGTTTCCGTTTTTTGCTGTCATATGTTTCCCAGTGTTTACAAATTATTTTTGTAATCGCCACATCTTTCAGAAACAATCATATTTCCCTCGTCTGTTTATCCGATCGAATACATAGCCACATTCTGGCGATTTAGTTATCCTACGTTCCTAACCATGGTTCGCTTCTTTCTAGGGCCCTGACGTCATGGCTTCGGACAGCTCTCTATGTTACTGAAAACATGACGTCAGGTTTGGTTCGACTCATCCCTCCCCCTTCCTCAACCTCTTCCTCCCTCCCTTGTCAGGCGCATGTCAAACACCCCTGGAACCCTTCTCCCTCCTAGGAATTCTTGTAGTTTTCAACGTTCCCATTTCAAAAATACCGCGTTTTCCTCTAAAATGTCGAAATGATGACAATTTTCTTCCCCTTTATGTACAAACTCCCACGAATTTGCATAAAACTGCATGTTATTTTCACCGCGGTTTTGCAAGAAACTCAAGATTTTCACCACAGTTTTGTGTAAAAATACGCAGATTCTCCGCCAAAGCGCGCCAGACCTCGTATTTTTAAAATCCGTTGACGGCGCCAACCCATTTCCACACACGTTTCGTCAGTCACGTGTCCGAAATTTTTTTGCAACACCCCCCCCCCCCCCCCCCCCCCCCCCCCCCCCCCCCCCCCCCCCCCCCCCCCCCCCCCCCCCCCCCCCCCCCCCCCCCCCCCCCCCCCACC